TGAGGCCTGAATGGAAGGGTGCCAGGGCCTGACTTCCACCCAGTTTTTGAAGCAGAAAGTTGAGCTAGCTGGGAAAATATATATTAAAAAAACCCAGCTCCCAACACAGGAGAGATGGCTGATGGAGTCACTGCTTTACTGCTGTTGCACCCAGAGACTTGGCGGGCCTGTTGCCACAACTGCTGCTCCGGCTTTCACACCTTCCAACACCTGGAGAGTCCTGGTCTGGGAGACCCAGAAAAATCTCTCTGCCCACACAGCTCAGCAAGGAAAGATTTTAGCTCTTTAATATTAATTTTAGATTTTACTGGATTGTTTTCTGTGAATTTGATAGCTTTCCCCTCACTAGTTAATATTATATACTTAGGTCCAATATTATGTTTATTTAAAAAAAGTTTAATGTGTTAATTTCATTTATTCTTTTTTTATTTCTCATCTTTTTTTCTAAAATATTTTTTTAATTGTAGATGGACATGATATCTTTATTTTTATTTGTTTATTTTTATGTGGTGCTGGGGAAAGAACCCAGGGCTTCACGCATGCAAGGCAAGAGCTCTACCACTGAGCTACAACTCCAGCCCTCTTTTTCTCATCTTTATATTCTCTTTTTTCTTCTCTTTCTCTGATTGCATTTTTTGCTTCTGCCTCCACTCCAATCATTTTTTCTTTTGGTGCTTCTTTTTTCTTTTCATGCCCTATAGAGTTTAACAGTAACTTCACTTTCTTTAATACCCAATTTTTCACTCTATTCTAGAATATTACTCCCCATTTATACTTTTGGACTAGTGGAGTTGGGAAGAGCATTTTCAATAAGTTTTATGGTTTGTTAGTGTGTGTGTGTATATATATATATGTATATATTTTGCTCTCAAATGGTAGTTGTTACTTGTGATCAGTATCTCCTCTCAAAGCAGTGCTAAGGATTGATCATAGCACTGTGATCACATTGAGTGGGTGCTTTGACACTGAGATGTAGCCTCCCAGCCTGGGGCACAGTGTAAAGAGAAAGCATCTCACTACAAAGACCCTCACACAACAATGGAAGAGACATCTATCACAGAAGATGCACCAAACTCAACATAGAGATGCAGGAAACATGGGAAAACAAGGTAGTAAGATGCCTAAAAAATTCATAATACTTCAATAACCAAACTCATAGATGCTGAAGTGGAGGAAATGCAAGATAAAGAATTTTAAAAGTTGAAATTTAAAATGATTAATGAATTAAGATATAAGGAATGAATAAGGGGTGAACATACAAGATATGAAATAGCATTTCACTAAAGAGAGTGATTCTGGAAAGGAGTCCAACATAAATGTTGGAAATGAAAAACTCAGTGGAGAGTCTCAACAACAGACTAGATCAAGCAAAACAAAAAAACAAACAAAAAGTTGGAGGAATTAGAACACTCAATTATAGAGAAAAATAAACTGAACAGAATATACAAGAAATCTGAGACAACTTTAGAAGACCAAATTTAAGACCAATTAGTCTTTATGAAAGAAGAAATATGGATTAATTGGTATAGAAAACTTATTCAGTGAAATAATAGCAGAAGAGTTCCCTAATCATAGGAATGAGATGGACATGCAGAACACTTAGAACTCCAAATAGGACCAGAAAGACAATATACATGACAGAGTTAAAATTCCAAAAATTCAGGGAAAACAAAAAGAATTTTTTTAAAGAAAGAATTTAAAAAGCTACAATAGAGAAGTGCTGAGTCAGTTATAAAGGCAAACTCATTTAAATAATAGCAAATTTCTTAGAAGAAACTCTAAAAGCCAGGAGGAGATGAAATAATGTATTTATTTCAAGCCCTAAAAAGCAAACAGCTGCTAGTCTAGATTACTATGTCCAATAAAATTATCCTTAAGAATTGAACAGGTAATAAAAACCTTCAAAGATAAGCATAAAATAAAGGAATTCATGACCAGTAAACCAACATTGTAGAAGTTACTTAAAGGAATACTACACAGAGAAGCAGAAGAAAAAAAAAATAACCAAGAAAGCGTAGGACATAATAAATCACTTTAGAAAATATGAATTAGGCTTAGCAATTTGTCTGAATCAAAATTGTTTGAATCAAAAATGAGAATTAGGAGTGATTCAAACATTAGAAATAAAGCAAAATGACAGATAGTAATACATGACTCTATAATGACACTGAATGTAAATGGTAATAATTTTTCAATTAAAAGATATAGGCTAGAAGATTGGACTTAAAAATAAGACCCTGGATGCTCTTTCCAAGAAATATACCTCACCAGCGAAGTCCTACATAAGCTGAAAGTGAAGGGATGGAAAATTAAATTCCATGTAAATGGAATCCATCAGTAAGCAGACAGACTTCCAGCCAAAATTAGTCAGAAGAGACAATGAGGGTCATAAAAAAACATTACTTGACCTAAAAGAACTACTAGCCCCTAATACTATAATGGGGGAGAGGGTTAATATACCACTTCCACTAATACATGGGTCATCTAGACAAAATCAATGAAGAAACATCAAATTTATACTATTAATAGATCATATGGACTTGACAGACATCTATAGAATATTTTATCTGACAATAGTTGAATATACTTTCTTCCAGGTACTCAAGGACTTTCTCAAAAATTGATCATGTTAAACTGTAAAGCAAAAGAACTGATTTTATTGTATCTTTTCAGATCATAATAGAATAAAATTTAAAATAAGCAGCAAGAAAAACTACAGAAACTATACAAATACATAAAAATTGAATAGTACATTTTTAAATGATAAATGGTTCACTGAGGGAATCAGGGGAAATTTAAAAAACCTTACAACTAAATGAAAATGGAAAAACAACATGCCAGAATAAGTGTGACATAATGAAGGCAATTCTAAAAGGGAATTTTATAGCTTTGAGTGCCCACTTAAAAAGAGAGGGGGTATCTCAAAGTCTTAGAAAAACGGGAAGAAACTAATACTAAAACTAGTAGAAGGAAAGAAATAATTAAATCAGATCTAAAATGAATAAATAGAATCTGAAAAAATACAAAGGATTAATGAAACTAAGAGTTGATTTTTTGAAAAAAGAAATGAGATTGATAACCCTTAGAAAAAGTAACCAAAAGAGAGAAAAGACAAATTAATAAAATTAGAAATGAAAATATAAATATTATATCATGAGTGACTGAAATCCAAAGGATCATCAGTGACTATTTTGAAAACTTATATTCCAATAAATTGGAAACTTTAAAAGAAATAGAAAAGTTTCTAGACACAGATCACCTACCAGAAAGGACCAAGAGGATATAGAAAACCTGAACAGATCAATAACAGTCAATGAAATTAAAGCAATGATTAAAATCTTCCCAACCAAGAAAGCCTAGGACAGATGAATTCTATCAGAAATTTCAAGAACTAAAACCAATGCTTCTCAAATTATTTCATGAGATAGAAAGGGAGAAAACTCATCCAGTCATTCTATTAAAGCTACTATCACACTTATATCAAAATAACACTTTAGGAAAGAAAAATACAGACCAATAACCTTGATGAACATAATTGGAAAAAATCTTAATAAAATATAATGAAATTATATTTAAAATATACTAAGAAGATTATACATCAAGATCATGGTTTTATTTCATGGATGGAAAGATGGTTCTATGAGTGCAAATCATAAATGTAATTCATCCATAAATTGAATTAAGAACAAAAGCATATGATCATCTCAATATATGTAGAAAAAACTCCAACAATATTTAGTATCCATTCATGATAGAAACAGGAAATGAACTAGGCATAGAGGATTTTTATTTGTGTATTATAATTATATATAATATTAGGATTCATTTTGACACAATCATATAAGCATGGAAAATAATTTGCTCGAATTCAGTTCACAGTATTTCCCCTTCCCCTATTTCCTTTCTTTTACCCTAATGACCTTCCTTCTGTGCATTTTTAGTTTTAAAAGTTGATTCTTTAACAATATATACATAGGTGAAATTCACTGTGGTATATTTATATGTGCACATAGCATAGTTGGTTCAATTTTATTCCATTGTTCCTCTCTTTTCCTGTCTCTCTTCCCTTCCCTTGAATCCCTTTCTTCTGCTCCATTAATCTCCCTTGTGTCTTCATGGGATTCTTCCCTACCACCTTTTTTTCTCCCTTATTTTGGTCTAGCTTTCACATATGAGAGAAAACATTCAATTCTGACTTTCTGAGTTTGGCTTATTCCTTAGTCTTAGCATGATATTCTCCAGTTCTATCTATTTACCACCAAATTTCATTCTTCTTTATGGCTGAGTAAAACTCTAGTGTGTATGTATACCACATTTTCTTTATGCATTCATCTGTTGATGGGCACCTGGCCTTTTTCCATAACTTGGCTAAAGTAAATTGTACTGCTATAACATCAATGTGGCTGTATAACTATAATATGTTGGTGTTAGTTCTTTTGGATAAATACTAAGGTAGAATAGCTGGGTCATATGGTGGGATATCCCTACTTTTTGAGAAATCTCCATAATGCTTTCCAGAGTGGTTGTAATAATTTGCATTCCCACCAACAATATGAGTATACATCAAGCATATATTATTGTTTGTATTCTTGATAACTGCATTTGAATGGAATGAGATGAAATCTCAATAATTTAGTTTTGATTTGCATTTTCCTGATTGTTAGGGATGTTGAACAATTTTTTCATATTTTTTATCCATTTATATTTCTTTGAGAAGTGTCTGTTTAGTCTTTTGTCCATTTATTAATTGGATTATTTTTTTTAATTAGAAAAATTATTTATTTCTGCTCCTTTCATACATCTTACTGTTGAGGAAACAGTCTTGCATACATATGTGAAATAACATACTATCACACACACTGTTTAAAGGCAAAGCACCATCAGTGAAGCGGATCAGCAGTCCAGAGTTCTCAGTTCTCAAGAGTTCTCAGAGATCTTGCTTCCTGATTTTACATTAATTTCTGAAAATCAGAAATATCTCCAAAAAATGTTAAAGGGGGTTGTAAAAAATAATCATTTATTCAATATTATAATTTTAGAAGAACAGTATATATACGAAATGAAAAACTAAGAAAATGACACTTAACATCGTTGGTACAACAGGTCAGCAGGAAAAAAATACTGTGATAAACTTGTCTCTGATACCAAGAAATTCTAGTCCAAGCTTTCATATACTTCCTATGTTTTCACTTGATACTTCTTTTACTGCTGCTTTTTATTCTTTTCCACATTTCATAGTGGAGGACTGGTACAGCCTTTAAAACTTCATCAACAGGAGCAAATCCAGAATCCACTGATTTCTTCTCAAAAGGCACTCTAACCCATCAGATAGCCTGGCAGTTTCATTCTCATGAATACTCTAGCCATGAAAAAGCTCAGTAGGACACAGACGAATCCAATGAATAGAAGAAGAAATCTATTGAGTTTTGGAATATTTGGTGCATTTGATCGATCCAGGATTATGAAACCTAAACCCCCCATTGTAAACAGGAAGCTGGATGCAAGTCCTTCCATGATGTATTGTCCATTTACTCTGTAGGCCAAGAAAGCTACTGGCCTCTGATGCCCATGTTCATCAGTCATAGAGCCAACACTCGGAGGTTCAACAATAACATCATAAATTATTCCTCCGGTGATGAGGAAATAAGACACCACCACCAGAGTGTACACCGTCATGGCCGACATGTGCACCCAGGGTGGCTTCTTCAGCTTCAGGTTGGGACATTCGAGCACTAAGAACGGGACCCGGTAGAAAGTCTCCATGTTGGTGGCGGCCGGGGCAGCTCTCGGGCCTGCAGCCCCACGCGCCACCCGGAAACAGGCCCGCCTTAATTGTATTATTTGTGGGTTTTGGTGTTAAGTTTTTTGAGTTCTTTATATATTCTGGATATTAATCCCTTGTCAAGGGAACAGCTGGCAAAGATCTCCCATTTTGTAGGCTCTCTATTCACACTCTTTTTATTTGATGCCATCCCAGTTAATGATTGTTGGTTTTATTTCTTATGCATTTCAAGTTTTGTTAAGGAAGTCAATGCCTGCATCAATGTTAGAGGGCTGAGTATATTATCTTCCAGAAGTTGCAAAGTTTCTGGTCTAATTTCTAGGTCTTTGATCCACTTTGAATTGACACTTTTGCAGAATGAAAAAGGGATCACATTTCATTCTTCTTTATATGGACATCCAGTTTTCCCAGCACCATTTGTTCTAATCTCTTTTCTCCAGTATATGGAACTTTTGTGATGACTGTATCTATGTGGTTTTGTTTCTGTGACTTCTATTCTATTCCATTGGTCTTCACATGTGTTTTGGTGCCAATACCATCTATTTTTGTTACTGTAGCTCTGTAGTATAATTTTAGATCAGGTATTGTGAGGCCTTCAGAATCACTGTTTTTGCCCAGAATTGCTTTGGCTATACTGGATCTTTTATTCTTCCAGATTAATTTTAGGATGTTTTTCCTAGTTCTTAAAAAAATCTCATTTTTTATTTATTTTGATGGGTATTGCATTGAGTCTATATATTGATTTTGGTGGTATGACCATTTTACCAATATTAATTCAGCCTATCCATGAACATAGAAGGTCGTTTTATCATCTTGTGACATTCACTTTCTTTCTTCAGTGTCCTATAGTTTTCACTGTAGAAGTCTTTCACCTCCTTGGTCAGGTTTATTCAAAGGATTTTTTTTTAGGCTATTGTAAATGGATATTTTTTCTGATTCCTTTCTTTCTCGGCAGATTCATTATTGGAGTATAGGAAAGTGATTAACTGTGATTGATCTCATATCCTGCTACTTTGCTGAATTTGTTTATCAGGTCTAAAGTCTTCTGGTGGATTGTTTTTTGTTTGTTTGTTTTTGTCTTCTAAATATAGAATCATGCCATCAGCTGCCGCAGTCTGGCTGGGAAAAATAACCGGGGGTGACAAGCAACTTGTGAAGATTGAAACAGCGGGAGCCTCTTTATTGCAAGACAGTAGAGGTATGTATACCCACCTAATTACACACAGCTTAACTTAATTAACATCATCTGGATACAGCAGTCAGTCATTAAGGAATCCTCATCATCTTAATGGCTCGCTGGCGTTACTTCACAAACCACTCCTCCTGGCAAAGTGCCAGGCGCCATCTTGACTTGATTGTGGCCCTCAACAATCAGCAAAAGAGAAATTTGACTTTTTCTTTTCCTGTTAATGTCTTTTCTTTTCTTCCTGAGTGCTATGGCTAGAGTTTCAAGAACTATGTTGAATAGGAGTGGTGAGAGTACACATCTTGTCTTGTTCCTGATTTTAGAGGAAATACTTTCAGTTTCCTCCCACTCAGTATGATATTGGATTTGCTTTACAATGTTGAGGAAACTTCCCTCTATCCCTAATTTGTTTAGCATCTTTAACATGAATGGGTGCTGGATTTTTTTCATATACTCTTATATGCATTAATTAAGATAATCATGTGATTCTCATCCTTAACTCTATGAATGTGATGAATTGCAGTTATTGATTTGCATATGTTGAACCAACTTTGCATCCCTGGGATGAAACACACTTGATCATGGTTTGCTAATATTTTATTCAGGATTTTTGAATCTATGTTCATCAGGGATATTGATCTGAAGCTTTTATTATGTGATGTGTCTTTGGTTTTGGTATCAGGGTAACATTGTATTCATAGAATAATTTTGTAGTGTTTTATCAAATAATTTGGGAAGGATTCTCATTAGTTATTCTTCAAAGGTCTGCTAGAATTTAGCTGAGAATCCACATGGTCTTAGGTTTTTCTTTGTTGGAAAGCTTTTAATTGTTGCTTCAATGTCATTTCTTGATATTGGTCTAAGTTTTCTATATCCTTTTGATTCAATTTGGGTAGATGATGTGTGTCTAAAAATTTGTCTATCTTCTAGATTTTCAAGTTTAATGGAGTAAAAATTTTCAAAATAGTTTATCATGATCCTTTGGATTTATGAAGTATCTGTGGTGATGTCTCCTTTTTCATCTCTAATTTTGTTGATGTGGGGCTTCTCTTTTGTTTAGTTTGGCTACGGATTTATTGATATTCTTTATATTTTCAAAGAACTAAATATTTGTTGCATTTATCCTTTATATTTTTGTTGTTGTTCTTGTTCTCAATTTCTTTTATTTCAACTCTAAAAATTATTTCCTATATTCACTGATTTTGGAATTTGTTTGTTTTTCTTTCTCTAGGGTCTTGAGGGATAATGGTAGATTATTTATTTGAGATCCTTCATTTTTTTAAATGAAGAAACAGTGCTATAATATTTCCTCTTAGACTGCCATTTCATTGTATTTTTTTTCCATTCTTTTACCTTCAGCCTGTGGATGTTTTTCTCCTATAATGCCTCTTGTAAACAACTGGTTGGGTCTTATTTTTTAATACATTCTGCCAATCTGTGTTTTTTTTTTCATTGCAAGTTTAGATCATTAGCATTCATCATTATTTTAGAGAGATGATTTATATCTCCTATCTTTTTTTGGGGGGAAGGGGTTGCCAGGGGTTGAACTTGGGGCCATTCAACCACTGAGCTACATCCCCAGCCCTATTTTGTATTTTATTTAGAGACAGGGTCTCACTGAGTTGCTTAGCACCTTGCTTTTGCTAAGGCTGGCTTTGAACTTGCAATCCTCCTGCTTTAGCCTCCTGAGCCACTGGGATTACAGGCAAGTACCACTGTGCCCAGCTCCTGTCATTTTGATTTGTTTCTAATGCTTAATCCAGACTTGATTAAACTTTAATTGACTATTTTTATAGTGAGATTTATCCCTCTGCTTGTTCTCACTTTCATTCTTCATCTCTTGTGCATGAAATATTCCATTTACTGTATTCTGTAGTGTCAGCGGAGTGGTTATGAATAGTTCTTATAGTTTCTGCTTATCATGGAAGGCTTTTATTTTATCCTTAATTCTAAAGGATAATTTTGCTGGGTATAGTAATTTTGTTTGGCATCTATATTCTTTCATGGCTTAGTGTATATTATTCAAAGCCCTCTGGTCTTGGTCTAGGTTAAGAAATTATTTAAAATCCTAATTGACTTACATCTAAATGTGACCTATTGTTTTTCTCTCATGGCTTTTAAACTTCTACATTTATTCTGTATATTAGACATTTTAATTTCAATCTGTGTTGTAGAAAAACTTTTTGTTCTTGCCTTTTTAGTGTTCTGGATGTGTCTTGTGTTTGAATTTTCATCTCATTCCTAATGTTTGGAAAATTTTCTGATATTATTTCTTTGAAAAGGTTGTGCATTCCTTTAGTTTGTATTTTGGTGCCTTCATCTATTCCAATGATTCTTATATTTGATTTCTTAATATTATTCCAGATTCTTTTAATATTCTGGCCATGGTGTGTGTGTGTGTGTATTTTAGTTGTTGATGAACCTTTATTTTTATTTATTTATTTTTATGTGGTGCTGAGAATTGAACCCAGTGCCTCATACATGCTAGGCAAGTGCTCTACCACTGAGCCACAACTCCAGCCCCTGGCCATAGTCTCTTAACATCTTTCTTTATTATTGACTTTATTTTAAGGTTACATCCTTTTTCTTCAAGGCCTGAGAATCTGTTTTCAAAGTGGTCCAATCTATTGGTGATGCTTTCCAGTGAATTTTTAATTTGATTTATTGAGGCTTCCATTTCTAGGATGTTTGTTTCTTTTTTAAAATCTCTCTCTTTATTGAAATGATCTTTCACTTCCCATGTTTTCTCTCTAATTTCATTCCTACATCTTTTTTAGCTCATTAAACATTTTAACTATGAACGCTCTAAATTCTTTCTCCACAATTTCTTCCACTGTGGTGTCAATAAGAAAGATTATTGAAGTGTTGTGGGTTGTTCAGAGTGATTTTTTCCTTTGCTTTTTCATACTGTTCGTATGTCTACTCATCTTCTGGAATAATTATCACTTCTACTTATATGCAAGGGACTATGTAGTGAGCTTCCTTCTCTTAAGTGCCCTGGGCTGGGTGACTATCCAGGTATTGATATTTTTACTTAACATGTGTCCTCTGCTGTTCCTAGTATCATCATTACTTTGGTAGAAGACACTAAACCCTATTTACTAAAATCACTTCAGAGCAAAGTCATGTACTAATTAAACTTAGAAAAAGTAAAAATTTATTGAAAATGTTCTCCATGGTTCCTCTAATGCAGGTATAAAATTGTAGTAAAGTTCTGGTGGAATATGTTGAGAAATTAGTTATTATAGTAAAGTTACTATTACATTATGTAGGAGCTGAAAAGAGAGGGGAAATGGGAAAGAAAGAAAATAGAGAAAAGATAATACAAACCAAGAATAAAAAGGTGGATGGGGGCAGATTTGAGGTACTAACCCATAATGCAAAAGCAAATGGAGGGGCTAAAAGCAAGTGTAAACCTGAGCTAGGAAAACTATAAAGATAGAATGAGTTCACTTAATACTTTTAAAAAAATAGAAGAAATACAATAAAATGAGGGCACAATATCAAAGACTAAAGGAACAACTATTGATTAAAAATGAAGTGTAATATATGAAAGATCAAAATTGGTATTAGAGATATTTATAATAGTCCATGCCAAGGTGGAGAAATTTCTTATTAAGTCTTCCTGGTTTTGATTTTTTGAGGATTTGGAGTCTTTAGAAGATATCCATCACTTCAGCTTTGGATCGTCCTACAAGTCTTGGGACACAGGAGCTACTTTCCTGGTTGCTATTAATTTCTTATCAGTTAATTCTTATTTGTCAGCTCAGGAGCCCGAGTCTCCACATTTGAAGGGTATTCTGTTGCATCTGCTGGCTGCCTGATGCAGGTTTCAGAGCTGTGTGCTGACTGCT